TTTCCCTTGCAGTTCCTTAGTGACATAGGACGCGGGGCGCCACTTCACAGGCTCAGTTGCCACCTGTATGTTTCCTGGGGTGGGTGTCTGGTTAGGTCTTCTGCCTCGTTTTTAATCAGGCTGTCTGTTTACTTACTGGGTTTTAAGCCTCTTTTTACACATGAGTCCTTCCTGAGTTTGCCTCCCCCTCTCCCGACTGCAGCCCCTGACGTTTTGAAGAGTCCAGGAGGGGAACCTCCAGCGTGCCCTGCGTTCCGCTCAGTTTCTCTATTTTCCCATCGTTTATTTTCAACAAGATAAAAAGCAAGGCAACACCTGCTGTCCACAAGAGGCACGCTTTAAACAGAAAGACACACAGAGGCGGGCTGCACAAAGGTGCTTCATGCAAAGCCGAGTTGTGGAAGAGATGGAGTGGCCGCACATGTTACTAACCAGAGATGAAAGGGACATGCATAAAGACAAATAGGCCAGGTCGTCAGGACAGAAACCATCTAGGACGCGAATGCTCTTAACATCCGAGTTTGGAGCACACAGAGCAGAGCCGCCAGAACCAAATCACAGTCCCTGGCAGAGACTTGAAAGCCTGTAAGTGACACGTTAAAACTGACAGATACATATTTTCTCAAAGAAAACTCCACTTGTAGAAATTATATTTTTCCTAGTTAAAAAAAAAATGACTACTATAAAGACCAGAGCAATACTATTCATCGCCCTGGCTGAATTCACAAAAGCACCCACCGGCCACTGCAGAAAATATTCTCAAGTGCCGGTGGAATGTTCACCGAGTTATGTCTCAATAATGTTTGAAGGATTCAAATCATACTGAGTATATTCTCTGGCTACTGAGTTCAAATTATAGGATGGCTGAAAAATCCTCAAATATTTGGAAATTAAATGACATATTTCAAAAAAGATATCACAAGGGAAAATAAAAATAAACAATAATAAATACATGACATCGAAATTTGACTACAGCAATGCACAGATAGCCTTAAATCCTTGTAAAGAAGAAAAGTTTAAAATTAAAATCTAAATTTCTACCTTAAGAAGCTCGAAAATGATGAGCAAATTAAAGTAAGAAGGAAAGAAATAATGAAGAGAACAAATCAGTAAAAGAGAGAATAGCCATTAGAGAAAGTTAACATAGCTAAAATTTGGTTTTTTGAAAAGATCAGTGAAAGTGGGAAGTACCTAGCTAGATAGATAAAAAATAAAAGAGAAGACACTTTAATCAACATTTAGGAATGAGAAAGAGAGGATATCGCTACATATTCTATAGATGCTGAAAAGATAAGGAAATATTAACAATTTTATACCAATAAATTTAACAAGTTAAATTAGACAGAAAATGCCTTCAAAATACAACTTACCAAAAGTGATGCGAAGTGCAATAGAAAATCTGAATGGCCCGAAAGCCACANGCCCACCTGCAACCCCGCTCTCCCGCCTAAACCTTCCCTCTTGAAACCATAGTCATTAGTTTTGTGCTTTTATTCCCTCACCTTTAAAAAATAATTTTAATTCATGCCTGTGTCGCCCTAAAAAGCACGTTGTTTAGTTTTGCTTGTTTTTGAATTTTATAAAAACGATATCAAATGTAAAGCAGGTAACTCTTTAAATTCAACGTGTATGTTTCTAAAACGGATCCATACTGTTGTGGGTTGCTTTAATTAATTCCCCGTCGGATAACGTTCCGGAATGTACTGACCCCTTCTCCTGTTGCTGGACATTTGAGTTGTTTCCAAGTTTTACTTCCATTTTTAAAAAATGCTTCTTGATTATTTTTGCACAAAAACGTACACATCACAGAAGAGATGGGGAAAAGAAAGGTCAGAGAGAAGCGCACGTGGCCGGCTGCCGTGTCAGAGACCCCAGTGGTCACTGCCGGCTGGGCGTTCGGGCTGTGTCCACGCGGGGACTCAGCGTGGCTAGCGCTGGCACACTTCCTGGGAGCAAATGACTTGCTTCATGGACAGGCCCTAAGCGATCCAGGAGTTGTCTGTGCTCCTAACTATCTGTGGGACAGCTGAGAGCAGGAGCCGTGAAGATTCTGCTCCCGGGGAGATGAAAACATACCAATCAGAACAAAGGAGGGTGTGGGTCCTGGTGGGTTCAGTCAGCACGCTGCTCGGAAACCAGTTTTAAAGTTTATGGAACTTAACTTCTGGATGTTTTTCAGACAGCCACACTGTGTGTGTCTAAGATGAGTCCATCCCTTTTTGTTGAGGTTAGCAATCACGATTTCCCAAATGAACTGCAGTTTCCGCGTGACACATGGTCCGTTAGTAGAACATCCCTGATGCATGAGTCAGACGCACAGTCACAGGCGTCAGTTACCTGCCGGCTGCTCCCGTGCATGGAAGCGCTGTAAGACCTGCCCTTGGTCCATGGTGCTGGGGCTGAAGCGGAACCAGTGCACCTGTCAGGTGTGAGGGGCAGAGGAGAGGGCAGGTGGGCGCGAATCAGCAGACACTGGGGAAGAGGGCGCGAGAACGGCGTACGGTTCTGAGCACAGACGCTGTCGTCTGTGGCCATTTCGAGTGAGCTCGGGGGAGGGGGGGGCGTGACCTTTCTCACCAGAGCCCAGAGCTGCCGTCAGGGCTGACGCTGGGCGCTGTGCTTTCTGTGGGTCTGGACGCGGACCCACTGTCACGGTGTTGCACAGGGTATTCTCACTGCCCGCAAACCCCTCTGTGCCCCACCTGTTCACCCCACACTCCCCCCACCCCTGGCAACCACTGATCTTTTTACTGTCTCCATAGTTCTGCCTTTTCGAGAATGTCACAGAGCTGGAACCA